TGCACCTTTGCTGCCATTTATACCAGTTATCTCAGCTGCAACCTGTGTCTGTGACAAACACAGAGCTCTTGTGACTTTGCGTGTGCGTGTGATGGGAGACCACGTACTCTCCTCCAACAAGGAAGATGCACAAGGGCATCAAACCAACCACAATTTAAATGATGCTTTTCTTGTGTCAAATATTTATAATCAGTCTAAAGTCTGTTAAGTTTGTTTGTTGACTTTCGCAATGCACTGATGAATATGCTGCAATCAATAAAAAAACTCTGAAATACCACAATTTAAATGATGCTTTTCTTGTGTCAAATATTTATAATCAGTCTAAAGTCTGTTAAGTTTATCAGTTTGTTGACTTTCGCAGTGCACTGATGAACATGCTGCAATCAATAAAAACCTCTGAAATTCATTATCCACCAGAAATTATTCATTTGGCTGCATCTTTTTGGAGCTCCTGCTGTAATAATCTCAGACTCTCCTGAGCCAAAACTGTCAACTGTTTTGTGACGTAGTAGTATTGTTTTACAGAACATGAACTGTAATTCACAGCTTGAACTCGGATTTCAGAATTGAAAGGCCAGTACTTCAGCTTTTTAAAAAAGGCTTTTGCAACCTCCTTAAGAGCTAAGGAAGAAAACTGTTCAAGGAAGCATTGAAAATCCCTGAGGGAGTGCTATTGCTATAGTTTACTGATCTTTTCAATTAAAAAGCACCAAGAAAGTAAAAGTGTGGAAGAGAACAGAGCAAAGACCATGATGGAACACTGCTAGCCTGAGCAGTAGGATAGAGTCTGTTGAATTTATTTCTTATGTTTTGACTTTGGGGAGAAAAAGTTAGTTTTAAAGGATATGTGCACTCCAGGAGAATTTGCCGAAGATATTTCGTGCAAGCAAGAATTGCTCTGGGAGTAGATGTGGCCCTAACTATAAATTAAGTTCCCACTAGGTATAAAATGCAGATTGCTTTTCAGTCATGTTATAACAGGAGAAGAAAAAAAACCTTACCAAGCCTTTTGTGTAGCTGGGTTGTATCAGAAGTTGAAATTATTCGTGTAACCAAAAATAACACCTCTTAAAATGCATCATCTACAGAACCTATATTAAAATATCATTAAGCATGTGACAGAATATTAGTTAATACATATGCATTTCTGGGCCCAAGAGATGTCAAGAGAAACAGGAGTAGCTACAAAGTAAATAGCCAGTCACACCATGCAGTGCTGTGGCCTATGAACAGTAGAAATAGGTTATGTCTTGCCTTAATTCTGTGTTCCCTTATTTTTACATTAGCAACAGCTGGATTTATGTTTAATATACCAAAACTATGAATTTAGATACCTTTTAATTCCTGCATGAAATGAAAAAATCAAGTCTCTTTCCAAACCACTACAAAAATGTTTATAAAAGCAATTTTCTGAATAGAAAAGTATTACTTGGTTTTATCATACTCAACTTTGTATTATATCATGTAAAGAAATGACACAGTATTTGTTAATGTATATAAACAAGAAAACAGTCTGTATATAAAACAAGCATAAAACAATATAGAGAAGAAGTCTTGTTCAACATGAGGAAAATATATGTCATAGATATATGTCTACATGTCATAGGTGGTTTCTTAGGCTGTGCTTCATAAACTTCACTTATTTTCTTCACTTATGTGTTTTCCCAATTTCATTTTGTTGTATCAGGAAGCCACATCTCATAGGGTGATAGATGATATAATGGACTCTCAATTTAAGATCTGTTTTTGAGCTCAGCTGTAGGTAGGGATGAGCTGTGCTGTTTGTTTATGAGGAATTGGCTCTGTATAGTAGGATTATGGTATGTAGCAGGGAAAAAAAGAAGCATCGTTCATCAAGAAAACATTTTTCATACCTAGAGGAGAGGTGATGTATTAAATATGGCACAAACAGCAGCTAACTGTGGATTATAGTGTTATATTTCCAGAGAGGATTTGTACTGGCATCACAGACTGCCACAGTAAAGTTTATAGAACAGTAATCCGTGTGTTATTAATCGTGAGTCTTTATTTTACAGAAGTTTACACTTTGGCTGTGATGATTTTTACTGTACTCTTGCTGTTGCTCCTAGAAGTCTCTCTTCATGCTGCAGCCCAGGCCAGAAAAGTGGGATGCTCCATAGAAATGCCTTTCGCAGGACTCCTCCCTTACCTCGGGGTAGGTTCAATGGCATTACAGGACCACCATATCAACAGCTAGAAGAGTCCAGGATCACAGACCAGGACACAATACCTTGTCATGGGTAAGTAGGAACATAACTGAGCCTGCTTGTGAGTGGCTGCTGGTACGTGGTGAATACACTCTGCCATTGCAGGCCTCCCATCTTGATCACAGTGTCCTGTGGTTCCAGGGTTTCTAGGATTGGAAGCAGAACATTTTCATCGTACTGCTTCTTTGAATGCAATGCAGTTTTGTTTGGCTGGCTGCTCTGTTTAATCCTTTCAAAGGCTGTAGAAGGGGTGATTAGAACAAACTGTAGGTGACTGGCAATGTTACTGTTTATAACTGATGTTTTCTCTAGTGGTGCCTTAATGTTCTAGTATCATTGGCATAGAATTTTTGTCTTCTGTCAGCTCTGGGCAAATAAGAGAAAAAAATTCAAAAGTCCAGGCTTCATAGTTGTTTTTTTTTCAATAAATCAATGTACATTGTGAAGTATGTTTGCTGTAGATTGAAGACCGATCACACAGGTTTGTCTTTGAAAATGCACAAAAAATCCAATATTTTTCCTTTTTTAATCCAGCTTATTGGAACATTGAATGTAACCTCCAGCTGTACATAAGGTCTGAATTTCAGAAGTTCTCCTGACAGCTTTGAAGTCTTTTGCATTTGGTATTTTGCATAATATTTACATATCCCTAGAAATTTCCAAAGAGTTTCTAGAATCACACAAACAGAACCCCTGGCCCACCCAGCCCAGCCCCCCTGCTCCAGGCATGGTGTCAGCATGGCAGCAAATAGTCTGCCCCAGCTAGAGCTCCCACCTGACTGCAGGTGAAAACCAGCCCTATCCCAGCTGAACCAGGACAGAGTCCAACAAAACTTCTTGCAGATTGTTTTGTGTGAGTGAAGCAATCAGTAATGAAGTGATCTCATCAACTAAAATATAAATATGCATCTAATCTCTTCATAAAAATAAAAAATAATTTACTAATTCTACTTTATGTTGAATTCTTCTAACTTAGGAAGGTTTCCCCAATAACAGATGGCTTTTTACCATCTAAATATCTGCTGGTTTCATAGCACTGGTGTTCTCATATTTCCAGACCAAATGAAGAATTCCCTTGTCCCCTGCAGAAGTTAAACTCCTTCCTTCCTTCTCCCTTTTCACCTCCATCTTCCTCTGCAGGGATGCACAAATCAAAGTGGTTTATCTCCCTAATTCTGTGAGCCTTCTGTAGTTCATCCATCAGCAGCCCTGGCTGAAGTTCAGTCAGATTTTATACGTTTATATGTGCTAGGAAAGGGGCTAATTTGCCTGATTTGTCTGGTCCTGCAAACGTGCTCCTCTTCCCATCCCACATGGAGAAGAAAGCTTTTGCTGCCTTCAAGAAGCACTGATCTCTTTATCTGCAACAGGATCTAATATTTGCAGAGCCTGAGTCAAATACAGCTAATATCAGTTATTTAATCACTACGCTACTTGAAAAAACAGAAAGATCTACTTGCAATGAGGAGCTTAAAGAAAACAAACCATCTTCATGCCAGTCACATCTCAGAGACTGCTTCGAGTCCCTGAGGGTGTCATGGGTTTCCATGCAGCTGAGCAGTCAGCAGTTTGGTTGTACCCTTTTAGTGACAGCTGCTTCCATCACACAGTGTGAGGTGTCAGAAGTGCTGCGGTGTAGCCGTGTCGTCAGGCTCAGCTCGCAGCCCTGTAGCCATAAGGTTTCATTCTTTGATTAAAACTCTTCAACACTGTATAACAGTCGTTGTTGCATATTTATAAATGTTTTGGCTTCTTTTTTTGCTTGGTTTTAGGAACGGGGTGGAGTGAGCACCACTTTGAAATACACGTACATGAATGTGTTTATTCAGAAAAAATAATTGTTTTTGATTAAAAAAGCCCAGATATCTTAGGAGGAAAATACAATTAAGATTCTTCACTTATAGGTCTAATCCTTGATCTGTTGAAAACAGCAGCAGTCTGGTGTCACAAGTAGAAGCATGGATTGCTTTGAAATTAACCAAAAAGGGAGTCTCTCATGGGTTAGATGTAATATCTTCACTAGTTTAAGACTTTGTCCGTTGCACACAAGGCATGTGCTTTATTTCAACCTCAGACCTCCTTGGAAAGCTCTTTGAGCACAGGGCAGAAACATGTAATTCTGGCATGAAGTTGGTGTCTACCTGTACTTCAAAAAACATTATGGAAATATGCTAGGCATTGCATTACCTGTTACTGTTACTGCCAATTAGTCTTCACAATATCAAGACTAATTGAGTCTCTGTTACAGAATTGGCAAATGTTACTGTTTTCTCACCAAACTCACTTTAATTCAGTCTTTTCTTGGTTTTGCTTAAATATCATCCGTATAATACATCCATTGCATGTGAAAATCATTAAAAACATTCACTCCCTTTGTTTTCAGGGTGCAGCCCAGAATATATTTAGGGCCTGAATTACCAAAAAAGGGAATAATGCAACTGATGCGATCTCTCCAGCTATAGTCGTTTGAACAATTAAAAATAAGCAAAGGAAACAAGAATGGGCACAACCCAAAGGTCTGCACTGTTCTGTTTTCATTTTTATTTTTTTTTTTTAAATATCCTCTTTCAGGAAAAATATCCCTGATCAGTCATTCATTCGTACTGATTCTTGAAAACTGTTCTAAAAAGGCCTTCCACAAATGGCTCCTAGTGCAAATGTGATTCACCAAAAGCTGCATCTCAGCTGGCTCAGATGTAAACACTAACTGCAGCTGTAGGGCATGTACAGAAAGTGTTAGCACGTACCCAAAAAAAAGCTGCTTCCTGTAATATTCCCCTGGGTCCTGCCACCCAAAGCAGTATCTCTTTCCATCAGGTAGCACCAAACATCACAGCAGCTCCTCCTTATCTCAGAGGTCCCCGCTGCTTTTCCTGGTCTTTTGGGGATGCCTGGAGTGGTTTTGTAGAGGGGCTGCACAGAAGTGCACGCGTGCACGTGTACAGGTGATTGTGTCAAGCAGTTGTGAGAACATGGTGCCACCATAGGCCAGCTAATTACGAGCCAGTGGTGCTCTGTTGGAAATGAGCGTAAAGGTACCTACTCCTCTCTCTCCCTTCTGCCAGCTCACCAGGAGGAGAGACCCCCAGGAAGCCTTTCCACTTAATTAATGTTGTGTGCTAATATTGGGTGAGGGCCGTTTCATGCCATTCCCTTTCTTTCCCTTAGTTCTCTTTCTGCTGATGCCAAAAAGCAGCAAGGCACATTTGAGTAGAAGGATATCCCTAAATGCAGTCCAGCAGGCTTATGCAGCTTTCTGCAAAGTACCCTTCAAGTCAGAGCTCAGAGCACCTGCTGCCACATCAGATCTAAATGCTGCTTTCCTCACCCATCAATAAAGCATATTAGAGTTCACTGTTAGCTTGCCTTATTAAACAGTCACTTGATCACAAAGCTGATTATAAATAGAAAACATTTCAGTACTAAGGTAATGCCTGTGGTCCCCAGCAGTCATGACTAGTAAATATAGTAACTCTTAGCTCACCAAGTTTCTAGTAATGCTACTTCTCAGAGGGAAAACTTTTTTTTTCATTGGTTCCTTTATTTTATATTTATTATACTTTCCATTGTTGATTTTTTTTTTTAAGTATTTCTTAGCACTTTCTGATCAGAGTAATGAATTTGGCTTTAAAACAAAATGGAAATGTTGATAAAAGTTCACCAAAGTTGCCTCACAATGAAAAACATCATGCTATGATATGTATTAATGGAGGAGAAAGGTTTTAAAAACAAACAAACAAAAACCAATCAGGATTACAAGATTAGGAAAACACAGACATTTGCTCAAGCCCAATGTATTAGCTCTATTTCCTGATGAGAGCAAAGAAAGCAAATCAGGCTAACATTAAAAGTATGCTCTATTGAACAAAACCCCATGTTTTTCAGAGGTACACTGCTCTCAGGTGCTTGTTTGCAGGGGAGCACAGACAATCATTTCTTCTAAACCAAGACTACACAACCAAGTTGTGTTTAAAGTTCTTTTTTCCCACACTGTTTTTAAAGAGTTTCCTAAAATAGCCATTTGACATTGAGAAATCAAAGAAAGCATCCATCCATTTCCCCAGTTTGGAAAGTAGAAATGGGATTTCAAATTTAATTTCAAAGAAAATTAATGATACAGTGTAACTCCTGAAAACTTTTCAAAAGGAATTGTCGTTATTCTCACGTGCCGGTGGGTAAAATTAGAGCGACAGAAAAGCAATAGTTTGCCACCACCAGATCTAAGAATCAAACCCAGGGCTCCAGAGTCTCCTGTTTTCCCCAGGGCCACACTGTTACCAAAAATGACATGCATCTTTTCAGCACAGCTCACTGAATCTCATACAGCCCTCCTGCTGCTGCTTCCATCTAGATGTACCACAAAAACTTCTGTTTTACTTTTTCCAGGTATGCATCCGGTGGTTTAAAAACTCCTCAGAATACTTCAATAAATATGCAACTGCCTTCAAGAGAGACGAGCCCTTATTTTAATAATGTGGAGCAGAAGGACTTGGTCGGCTATTCATCTTCAAGGGCCAGCTCTGTTCCCATCATCCCATCTGTGGGCTTGGACGAAGCCTGCATGCAAATGCAAAACATTTCTGAAGTAACAGGCATCAAATGGTGCAAAAACTCCTATTCAGCCGAACTTGTCAACGTGAGTTCCCCAGTCAGTAATTGTCTCCTAGCAGAACAACATGAGGTGCAAGTGTTGCTAGAAACTGTGCAGGAGCAGATTCGGATGCTGACGGACGCGAGGCGGGCGGAGGACTGTGAGCTGACGGGCACAGAAGCAAAGGGCAGCAGGAGTGAGAACACAGCCTTCCTGCCCATGAGCCCTGTGGCCAAGTCAGAGCCAGAGGCACAATTTGTCTTAAAAAGTGAGATGCAAAGAGACTCAGTCTTGACCAAGTGACTTTGTCGAGGGGGTTGCAAGAGGGGAAATGAGATCCGTGCATTTGATGCTTTGCTAAACAGGAAGGGAGGAAATGAAATACAAATTATTTATATGCATTAATTTAAGAGCATCTACTTAGAAGAAACCAAATAGTCAATCGCCCTCATATCATAGTGTTTTTTAACAAAATATTTTTTTAAGGGAAAAGTTCCAGGAGGGATGAAGCGTACATCAGGTGCTTTCTAGGCAGGATTACACATACAGTTTCCGTTACAGAGTGTTTTACCATGCTCCCTTTTGGCTGTCCAAAGGCTTAAGGCTATGCATCTTTTTTTTCAGTGAAGACCAAGACCATTCTTAGATTCATTTCTGGTATCAGGGCAGCACTGCAGTGAGCTGCTGGCCAGGGATTCAGAACCTGGGGAGCAAGTCCTGTGACCCTGGCAGAGACCTGGTGGCATCTCCCACTCTCCTCTTCATTCCAGGTTCATGCCATGAGAACAGGCACACTGACACCTTCTTCTGAGGTCCGGTACCTACCGTGGAATGACCATAAATGCCTAAATTGAGCCAGATGCTTAACTCTCAACCTTACTTTAATGTGTCAAACAGCTCAAGAAAGTCAATGGAAACCCTTAGGATCTGAGGTTTTGACCAGATGTGGATTAGGATTGGGGTCTGTAGAGTTAAAATGGTCAGAAGCCTGGGGCTGCTCCATCTGTCTGAGCTTTGCCTCTCAGAGCTGCCGTGGTAAAGAGTGAGAAAGTGCTAGAGAAAGTGTGAAAATGTGTATTATGACAGGTTTGGGGTTTTTTGAGTGCAAACAAACTGTTGTTGATTACCAATCCCTCAACATTTCTAAGCTGTTCTATTTGGAAGGCATTTGTAAACTCTCAACGAGCCATCTCTGTGTGTCTGTGTATTTTTTTTTTGACTTTTTTTATTATGAGTTGTTCAGAGAAGAGCCTGGGACATCCAGTAGCCAAAATCCAGCCAATAAGTGTCCACACAGCCCTAATTTGTTCTCTCCTTCAGTTCTCCAGTCACTTTAATTATGGCTTAGCCTTGTGGATTTTAAAGCTTCAGCCCTACGGATGGTTCACTATGGGCAGACCCACAAGCATGCAGAGATCTGATTCTAACAAGGCCATATAAGAGCAGATGTTTTCCACCAAATCACTCCCTGCAGGGGATCAAGGCCTTAGAGAAGAAATGTCATTTCCTGGTGCTGTATTCCGATCACATTATAAGTGGGGTTTTTTTTTGCATTTGCTTTCAAGTCCTCTTCCCCCCATAAATTGTAACACAATATGTCAATAATGCAATGAATTGGGTTCCGTGACACACACACACGTACTGTTTTTATTAGTACTAAAATATCTGCTTATTTGTGGGGTAAAGAAAATGGACTATAATAAATAATTGCTAAATAACCTTCCATGATTAATGTCAGAAGGTTGATTAAAAAAAAAAATTTACAGTATATACAGAATGTATTAAAATATTCCTTTGCAGCAAATTACTTGTTAAATTTATTAATGTGCCCCAGACTTTCCAGTTCACAAGTCTCAAGACTTCCCAAAATAGCACAATTGATCACACAGTGCTGTTGTATGTTGAGTCAGAATAAAGCAATATTTTAACCTCTGTCAAGTAAATTTGGAAACGAAATGCTGAAGGTGTATGTCATTTTTTTGTTGTTAAGGCAGTAAAAAACAATACTATTCACAGTCTTTTTTTCAGCAAGTCTTATTTTGGGTTTCTTCTGGAGGTTTGGTTTGGGTTCTTTTTTAAGATTCAATTGATGAAATTGTCTTGTTTACAGACCTTTCTATGACTGTAATCTTTGCTGTGTGTTTTCAATAAAAACAGATTTGAGGGCAAACTATGCTTTATGCCCCAGGATGGAGCATGTCTTGTTTGGACTCCCTTCTTCAAAGAGGAAGAGCTTGTGTTGTAGCAGTATGGTGGGATCACCATGGGGAGTGGTCTCTTTCTGCAGTCTGTTGTGGCTGGGCACAATCTCACCATGCATGAGCACAGCTCACTGGGGTGGGGGCAGCCCCAAGCCCAAATAAACCCTCTGGAACATGAGGTTTCTCAGCTGGGACTCAGCTTTGCATCTTGTGACTTTTCTGTCAATGCTGTATACATCCCACTTCTGCAGTCTGTTGTGGCTGGGCACAATCTCACCATGCATGAGCACAGCTCACTGGGGTGGGGGCAGCCCCAAGCCCAAATAAACCCTCTGGAACATGAGGTTTCTCAGCTGGGACTCAGCTTTGCATCTCTGCAGTTGTGACTTTTCTGTCAATGCTGTACACATCCCACCAGCTCAGGACATGAGCAAAGGGAGCTTGTGTCTGCCCAAAAGCCCTGTAATTATTACCTGTAATATAAAATCTGGCGACTATATAAAGCTCTGATTCAATAATTTGTGAAATGTGATCACAGTTAATTAATTGTTCACCACTAAGGGATGATCTCTCTGCAATAAAGTGTGGAGAATCCTGTCCAAATAGATGTTTCAAAATTAAAAAAAACAAAATCCAGAGGTAAGGCCACCTCACCTCCAAATCCTACCAAACTCTGCAAATCCACCTTTGGCAACATATTGGAAACACACAGCAAGATTTCTGTTGAGGAAAGAACCATATCATAAGCAATGCCTTTATAAAGAGAATGTGTTCACTCAGCACCCCTGAAAGACCCAGAAAGAGGGGAAGAGCAATGTATTTCAGAGAATGAAATGTTTGACTGAATGGCAGATGAAGATCTGAAACAGTGAAAATATCTTCAGTTCATGTTAGAGATGCAATCTTGTACTCAGCAAAGGATGTGTGACTGTTCTATGTTAACTGTTCTATTCAGTTTTCAGCATGTTTGAATAGAGAGACGTTAATATTAACCATATGACAGACTAGTGTATTATTTGTTAAGAGCATTGCTTCAGATCCTATTGAAACTGTCATTGTTTGCAGCAGAAAAGAAAATGGGTTGAAAACCTCAAAATAGATAGCCTTAATGTTATTTGTGTGCTTTCTCTAATGCAACTATTTTCCTCCATGGACCTTCCTGTTTTACAGTGAATGGGACAATGTTTTCTCTGAGGTCTGGTACTTGGTTATGTAGAGGACACAAAATACTCACAGGCAAAGTGGTAGGCCAAATTTTCCTTTACTTCTGACCCCCGTGGTCCTATTGAACTTAGTGGATCAGAAGGGATGTAAGTCACTGCAAAATGCAGTTCACTCCTCTCATGACATCTGTTCCCAGCCTTGGAAACAGCCTGCAATCTCCCTAAAAGAGCTCTGAACTCATTCATTTGCCTGTGATATAATTAAAAATTGTATCTGACCCATTAAGTTCCAAGTGTGGTCTGGTGTGAAAATTCACTCGTGCAGCAAGCAAACTGGGAGAGGAGCTAACTAAGGAAATTGAACTTTTTCTGAACTCAACAGAGAAAGCCTGTGTCTGTTCAGCATAATCCTGTGGAGTTGAATTATGAGAGGTGTATACCCTGATCTGTTTTTTTCCTTCTATATAGAATTTTTTCAAACCAACCCAAAATAACCATTAAAAAAAAAAAAAGAAGCCCAGAATGATCTCAGCATCTGAAATCAGAAATGCAGATGAGTATAGCTTTACCCACCAAAAAACTCTTTAGTACATCCATGACCCAAAGCTGAAATGTTCTAATTCTTGCAGGATCATGTTTGGATCAACAGACACATCCATAGAAGAAGAGCTCTTCAGAATGGTTTTGGTATCTAGCCACACTCTCAGCTGATGTAGTCAATGCAGTAATGACTGTTTCTATTAATAGAGGATCACATCCCAAATCTCTACTACTTGATGTCTAATGTAGTTACAAAGCTTAGTAGCCTACCACGTGACTTCTACACTGATTTGTGGAGCTACCTTCGTTTTGCTTATGAAAATCACACTTGGATCAGTGGGTGAACTCCCTCACTAGAACATGGTGCAAGGTTCATTGGCTGAGTGATTGGTTTGTCAGGTCTGTCTCAGCCTTTTACAGCAGGCTGAGTATCACTGACAGCACTAACAGCAGTGAACTTACCACCATGTGGCCAATTCCAGTGGTATTCATCAAAATCCTACAGCTTCAGGTTTAAATTTTGAAAAAAACCCAATGAGATGATGGCATGTGCTTATGAGCAGGGATGTGATGCACTCCTGAATCCAAATGTTCAGTCAGATAATTCATGTCTATGTCTCGTGTAAGTAAGAAGAAAATCTGGATTCCTCTTCCCAATTCATCCCGAGCTTCCTTTAGTGTAACTGTGGACATGACTTGGGCATTTCTTCCTCTTGTAAGGAATGATGAAAATTAATACCAAAGAACTCCTTCAGAGTCCTAGCTGCAGTAAATAAAACTAAAGCTTGAAGGAGCAGACCTGGAGTAAAAACTGGTTTTGAAAGTGGCATTAATACCAATAGCCTTTCAATAAAATGGAATTTCTCTATAATCTATTTTTCACTTGGAAAAACAACGAGCTTATAAAGTGATTTATTATCTTGACATCAATTTTAAATGCTCATCTTCAAGCAGATTGGGAAAAAAGCAAATATTTAGTATAGTTTTTTCAGCTTTTGTGATTTATGTTTTTTTAATTTTCAGTAGCCCAACAGTCCAATGATCCCATTGTCTGTATTATCTGGCATAGTTTTAAAGGCTATCTCCATCCCTTTTTTTGTGGTCCAGATGCTGGACCATTAGATTTCCTCAAGGAGAAAATTTTATCTTAATTTATTTTATCTAAATTATACTAAAAAAAAAAATGATTCATAGTATAATACAGTTCTTTATCTTGCTGAAAATATGAAGTGATGGAAACGTTTTTATTTTTGTACTACATTGCTGTAAGTTTGTAGCAAGATTACCCTCCCTTTGTTTTGGTGTCTACTCACATGAAAACATCTGCAACACCCAGTTTTCAGCTTTTAGATTTGATGCTTCCAAATCATCATATCAAACAGGATTTTTGTATTTTAAA